CAGGGATTCACTTATGTTTATTAACCAACGAAGAACTTAGAATAGCTATAGGTCTTCGTTTTGTGAAATCGTAACGCCGATATCATGTGTCCCTTGTGATACTCATATCGATACCTTAGACACCCCCCCCCCATACTGTCGTTTTTCAAAAGGTAAATTATCCAGGCACTATGCCTCAATTCGATATCAATATAAACTTGAAATCCGCAAATATTCTTTCTACACTGGAACCCTATGGCTTCAGCCCTGATGGAATGACCCTAGTCCCGTGGAACCAATGTATACTTCTCGGATTATACATGTGTAGATCGTTTTGCCAGATCTTTTTATTTCAACTCTATCACAAAGCTGAAAATACAAAAACAAATAAATATAATCACTTTAATAATCTTTTGTTTGTTCAGGTAGTCTCAGTCACCTGTGGATCATTTAGACCACAAGCCCTAAAATTATTCTAAACAATTGGGCAAAGGTTAAGTTTAACCACAGGTCATCCAAAAAAGGCTTTTACCTACGATAAAGAATATCAATCAAAATTTGTCGATCCAAATGTATATCTATCGACCAAACCTAAATACATAATTTTATTTTATTTCTCTTCTTTTAATTATATATTTTTACATAGTATATAGATATAGTATAATTATTTTAATAAATAGTTATATTATTTTTTTAAAAAACATATTAAAAATAAAATTAATTACTGGAATATATTATTTAGATTTATACATATATATTATTTTTAAAGTAACTAGTTACTTTTGGCAGCTACATTTCAAAAAATATAACTAGTTACAGTTACTAGTTACAATTTTTAAAATATAACTACTTACAGTTATTTTTTAGCAAAAATGTAACTAGTTACAGGTAAATAGTCAACACTAGAGTATATTATTGATATTATTACAAACTACTATTATTTTAAGACATAATATACCAACTAGAGGTAGTGCGATAATAATATATAAAATCTTAATTGTTTTCATCATATCACTCTGGTTCTTATTTTATAGTTACAATATGTTTCATTTCTAATATGGCATCCTTGCCGTGGTAATAATTTATGACTTCAATATAATTTCATAATTTCTTCTATAAAGATTTCCAGTGTTTTTGTTTTAACAATTTATCTAACATAATAAATTCTGATATAAGTTAACATCGTGTGTGTTAATGACTGCCAATTAACCAGCATCTATTATTTATGTAGCTATGTATGTTAAGATTCTACAGCTGCTGAAAGCATATGATTGCATATTTTAGATAAGCAATAATGATCAAATGTGTAGTCGTTTATATATCATAAAAAATGAAAGATTATCTTATAGAAATTTAATATCTCACAATAATTCTCTCGATTACTTATCTAGCTTCCATTATGTTATCTAAAAGGAAGCTCTAACCACTATATAGTTTTATGATTTGGATTGGTCGTTTATATTCTCTTCTTCAAAATTGTTGATTTGGTTAGGCCTATAAATTTTTCCTATAAAACATTGTCTAAAATGGTAACAGAGCGTTATATTAGCCTCATGACCTTTTGTCAATGTAAGTTCTTAAGAATTATTATTATATTATATGGTTTTTACAACCATTATCAATTGAGGCATATGTATGAAATAATTAACCTTTTTTATCACTTGTAATTCTTTAGACGCAAATTTTGTTATACCAGCAATCGAAAACACTTTATATTGTAATAAATAGATGTTGTATTAAAAAATATTATTTTTAGAAATGTCTTGTATTGTTATAATTATTTATATATATGCTAGTTTATTTTTTATGCATAATATAATAAATGACAAAATATGAAATTCAGAATTATAATTTAGAGCTAGCGAATTTCAAAAAAGTATAATATATTAATATAAAACCCGGCCGAAGACGTGCAAAAGCGAGAAATTAACGGGTTTGGGGGGATTCGCCCCCCATAAAATATTTTTTTAGTGGCCCCCTGAGATTTTAAAGGCTAGCGACGCCCCTGATTAGGGTTATAAAATAATTTAAATAATAAAAATCAAATAAACTTCAACTGTTAATTCCACATTGATATTTAGACATTATGAGTGATATTGATATTACCTTTTTAAACACAGAATTTGAATGCAAGCTGACATAGTAAAAATATAATTTATATGTATTAATCTAATCTAATAAATAAAATAGCATTCATTTAATAAAAATTTAGATTGTCTTATTAATTTTTAAATAATAAAATCAAATCTATATATAATACTTAATAGATTTATAATAGAAATCGTTCAGGGGGCTATCAAAAAAATTATTTTTAGTTCACCATTAAAAAAAACTTTTGCTTCAAGGAGCTATTTAAATTTTTCAGGGGGCGAGCCCCTGCGCGCCCCTCCCTAGTGACGCTACTGCTTATAATGTAAATTCAACATAATATAGAAATCATTTAGGACTTATCAATTTGTGTACAATTGTTATTCAAATCTGGCTGACGCCACGTTACATCTCATTACATCACCAGTTTTTGTTACCTCACTATTTATTCAATTTGCTTATTTTAAAAGACTTGTCACAGCTCAATAACTTAGAGGTGAAGGAAGAGTTCGTCACTAAATTAGCAACATGGAGGAATACATTAAATTGCATGATTAACCCAAATCTGACCTGGAAGGACATTAAGCTGAATTTATTAGTTAGTATTACATCATGTTTTAGACCACGCATTAAACGCAGAGAGTGGCTCACCCCTTAGACTATACAAATAATTAAGAATCTAACAATAAATATATCCCATTACCAATACGCTAAACATCACAGGAGATACATTACTTACCGCATAAGGGCCGACAAAAGGCTGTTTATTGCTAATTTATCTAAATCTATCCAATTCAATTTTGATAACAATAACATTTATAAGGCTTTCCAATCTCTTAAACTACTCACCACCTTCAATACCAATCCTTTACCAAGACTACACTTAAGTAACAATAAAATTATAACTGACCCAAAGGAACAATTAGACATATGGATAGACCATTACATGAACCTCTACAGAACGAGGTGGCCCAGACCTATATGTTACTACCCTTTCCAATCACCCAGTCAGACCTGAACAAGTTGGATATAATCGGTTCCATTAAACGACTAAAAATGCATAAAGCTGCTGGAGTCGATGGGATCTTTGCAGAACTTTGGAAGATAGATGTAGACCTAAGTGCCAGTTTACTACTTCCCGTTTTTAGGGAGATATGGAATATGGGTAATTTTCCTGACGAATGGATGACATCAATAATACTAAACTTACCTAAAAACAAGACTCCAAACAGCTTTAAGGATTACAGAGGTTGCACTGATTCCAGTTACCCTAAAAATCTTCACATACATCATATCTGTCAGGATTAAACCAATCATTAATAGGTTCCTCTCTAACACTATCACATCATACAGGAAGGGTAGAAATACTACGGAGTTGACTATGACACTTAAAGTTATTCTGGAAAAGGCTAGAATGCATAAATCCCCCATCTTTGCCCTGATGATTGATTTAAGTCAAGCCTTCGATTCCATTATACATCACAAGATATGGCCCTTGCTGGAAATCATAGGAATAGATAAGCATCTGATATCGCTAATTAAGATAATTTATGACAATCATAGCGTAGTACCTCAACATCTAAATATAAAATCAAAACCTTTTAAACCAAATAGGGGCCTTAAACAAGGATGCATTCTCTCGCCTATTATTTTTAATGTAATAATGGATAATATCCTAAATAAATCCTTTAAATAAGAATATGCACTCAACCCACATTACAGAGATCTACAGCACCACAATGACATGCATAACTCTCAGAATTTTCTATGTTATGCCGACGACGTGTGTATATAAGCTAACTCGGAATACAAGATAAGAAATATTATATCATTATTTGTCAACAACTATTATGAATATGGATTAAGAGTTAACTACACAAAAACCAAGCTTATCACCTCAAATACATATGCGAGTAACTTAAACCCCTTTAACTTTGAGGGTAATACGATAAAATTAGTTTCAGATTTCAAATACCTAGGAACCAAGATAACATGTCCCTAATTGTACCCATTCTTACCTACAGACTGGAGACTTGGCAGGACACTAAAAGCAACATCAACGCAACTCAAACATTGATAAACAAATGCCTAAGAAGAATCACCAAAACATATTATCCATACAACACCTCAAATTCAACGCTCTGGAATAGATGCGACATCCTACCAATCAATCGACTCATTCCCATGAGGAGATTAGAATTACTAGGCCATAGCTTAAGACACTCGCAGGAAAATATGATATTCTCGTCCATGAAATGGTCTCCTGACGGTAGGAAGAAAAGTACCTCTAAATATTATTGGTTGGCGAAATGTTTGAAGGATATGGACCTGATCAATCTCTCGTTTGCAGATTTCATGGCACTCAGCAAGAACACGAAACACCTAAAGGAACATATCAAATACATGCTAAAATATGGCCTAAATTAAAATAGGAACCGTTCTCTTCTTTTTCTTTTCTTGCAATGGCTAGAACAAAGCATTTTTGATGATAATAATAATCTGGACAACGCAACTTTCCTCATATGAACCCACGACTTTTTCTTCTGGACACACGATATCGGTGACAATAACGACAACAGCTACAACAACAAATAGAATAATGAATAATGATAACGAACACTGGTTATGATAAAAACGCAATAACACCGACGAACCCAAATATCATTTGCACAGCGCGTACAAGGTCTACATGACACGCGATATCGACACACCGAATAACAAACAAAGAAGGGACTCATCATGCAAACTTAACTTAAACTCTCAATACTCACCAAGTAATAAGAGTTATTATTGTTTTTTTTGTTGCGTCACTGAATAACCATATCAGGATTCAGGAAAATTATTACATGACATTATATTTCTTAACATTATTCTACCGGTAACGTAACTAATACATCACTACTTTCGTACTTCTCCCTTCTTCATTTTGCTAGCTGGCTACATAGTGGTACCGTCCACTATAATAAAACGGATATACATCATGCATAGGATCTATATACTAATGAATATACTTTGTGCACGTCCCACTCCTGGTGGGCGATGTAGGCGTGGCAATGAATGAATGAATGAATTATTTTATCCTAATTTACTTTGTAGAAACAATGAAGACTATAGTAGAAGTTGAATATTGGTAAGTTTCTAATTAAAATAATACTTATTTGTATTGATTATTTAAAAGCTCAAGATGAGGTTACGAAGGCAAATTTAAAAAACTGAAGGATGCTATTCTTAAAGTTGATCCTCAAGCAGAAGTTACTGGTAGTGTTGGTCGTGTATGTAAGTAAATCAAGCTTAACTTTTATGTATAATAATAAATATTTAGCGTCATTTGAAATCAAGATTAATGGGAAACTTATATTTTCCAAGCTTTCAAATGGTAATTTTCCTGATCAAAATAAGGTTATCAATTTTTATTATAAATAAACTCCTTGCATAAGATTCTCATAGTTTAGTGTATTATATACAAAACCAATTTTAATTTTATTGAGCGATCTTTATGCTAAGATCGTACCCAGGGGTGAACTGGTTAGTGTGCAAATTTTTATAGCAAAATCTTTATGAAGATTTCACTCCATTACTCTAAACACCCATTTCCCTTTTACCTATTTTTATTATGGTTTTTATTATTTCTTATATTTTTTTGACAAAAACATGTCCAAGATGATGGGTTAAATATTATGTTTTAATTTTTGATAAAAAAAAGTAAATAGACTAGTAACATGATAAAACACAAACACTCATACTTGTTTCACTTATAATAATCTTAAATTTAGTTTATTCCAATTGTCTTCTACCATACTTGACTAAATCTAATTTCAATTTTACTTTGATTTTTTAAAGCTCCTCTTGTAGAATGCTTGTTATAACTTATAACTTTGATATAAATTCATAAGCAAGAAATAGATTGATGCATGCTGCAATATGGAGATCTGTTTAGATAGATTAATATTAAATAAATAAATTTTAATTAAATTAGGAAATATTTTATACCAATTATATTTTAACATATATTAATAAATTCAAGTACCATTATTATAATTTTATATTATTTTAACATTTTACGTTAACCTCATACATATTTATACTTAAGTTAATTTTTATTTTATTTGTTATTTTTTTCATGTAGCTTAACTTATCCATATTTCATTATTCAAATTGTTATTATTATAAATTTCTGAAATTTTATATAATTTTAACATTTTACTTTAACCTTGTATATGAAGTTAATTTTTATTTTATTTCTTATTTTTTCATGTAACTTAACTTAACTACTTCAATTCATAATAAACTTATTTTATTATATTTTATTTCATTATTCAAATTGTTATTATAAATTTATACATATCAGAGTCCTGCTAAGGTACCATTTGCACGGCCCATTTGGCCTGGCCAACTTTTATATTTTCAGACCTGGCCGGCTTTTATATTTTCAGACCTGGCCGGCTTTTATATTTTCAGATCTGGCCCATATTTTTTTAAAATAAGGCTGAATAAATAAGCCAAAATAATAGATTACTTAGAATTTGATAGTATATTTTAAATATAATACATTTAATATATACACTACCAGCCATAAATGATTGCCCACTCTGCAAACATTTTTCTTAAAATAAGACAAATAACACACAATATGAGGTTTATACAATTTATTTATAAGTTTACATATTATTGCATAAAATTAAAATAAATACAGCAAATAATTAAGATCAAATTTTGATCTCATCAATATGACCACCTTTATTTATAATTGCTGCACAAATTTTTGGTAATCTTTTGATGAGATTTTTTAAATATTCGGAAGCAATATTGTTCCATTCTCTCTGTAATACTTCCCAAAGGTGCAAAAAGAGGTTAGAGGGCTTTTCGCACTTGTAGATCAAAGTGATCCCATAAAGTTTGATTGGATTGAGATCGGGAGACTGGGATGGCTAAGTCATTAACTCGAGAATACAGTGTTGTTGTAGATTTTGTAAATAATCTTTGCATAGTCTGGATGTATGCTTTGGGTCATTATCTTGTTGAAATAAAAAGTTATTCCTGATCAAACGCTTTCCTGATGAAATCACATTATCCTCAATGATTTGCCAGTATCCCTCCTTGTTGAGGATTCCTTTAATTTTGACAATGTCACCAGTTTCTTCAGCACCAAAGCACCCCCGGGGTGGGGAGAACACTCTCCGTGTTCGGGGGTCCAGGATGGTCGATAAGGGGATTCAGGGGGCCGGGTTTGGGTATCGATTTTGTCATGGGATCACGTGGACAACGTCGTGTAGATATTATTTTAAAGTTAATCCCAAAGCCCATACCACCGAATTAAGGTTAAACAACAAAAAAAATAAAAGAAATTAAATTCACAATCTCGAATTTCATTTTTCGTGGTCTTTATATAGATAAATTAAAATAATTAAAAGCATGTTAATAATGCAGGCCCATCTCGAAAACTGGCTAGAACCAGTTTTGAGGATGAAATCCAAACAAGCTTGGTATACGTGAACAAAGAAAAAAAAGATATACATGATAATGAGAAAAACATCACTTCTAATTGAACAAAGAAAACAAAAATATAAATGGTAATATAAAAACATATCACAGGAACAAAGACATAATAACTATTATAAACTAGTTAAAACACAACAATTAAATATTAAGGATTTTTTTGAAATAATATTGTTGTGGTTTTTATTTACGTTATAAATTTTAAATATGAAAACTCCAGGTGTTTCGCTTTCCAAATTTTTTTGAATTTAATAATTTTTTATTCTCTAACCTTATATCTATTCATAAAAAAAATTTAAACTTGGGACAGCCATGCGTTTTTTAGTTATTACGATTTAAAAAATCAAAAAATAAATATTTTGATCAAAAATAGATGGCGCTCTTTTATAAAATAACGTGTTTTGTTTAGATTATTATTTTTTAAACTTTTTTTCATTTTTAAACATAAATAATAAGATTTTCCAGCATTACTATCATGAAAAAATATTATATATAGTTTGATATGATAGGCTTACTTATTATTATTATTATATTGATAACTTGTAAAAATTAGTTGTTTTTATAATAAATGATTAAATTTCCTAAAAAGATAGTTAAGATTCCATATCTCCTACAAGAAAATATAATAATTAATTGTTGAAAGATAAAAGCAAGTTCTCGTGCACCTGCCCTAATAGTAGTTAATTTTTATTTTACAAATATTTTGATATTAATTATTTTTCTTTTTAAAATTATTTATAATGTATAAATATAAATGCGTTAAATCCTTTTAAAGAATCTAAACACTTTAATTATAAAAAGAACTCGCTTAAAGTCATAACATGGATGACACAATATCCAAACATTGAGGCGGAACACTATATTTGTGATAAATGTCGTAAACGGTTATCACAAAAAATATTGAAAATTTAACTATTCTGATAGCTAATATGTAAATAATATCAACACAGCATCAACATCAATAGATGCAATCAATATAACTTGAAACAAATTGGAATATCTCCTAAAGAAAAAAAAACTAACCGAAAAAAATTATCTAAAAAAAAAGGATAGCGAAAATATAAAAAGCTTATTTCAGATATAATAATTAACAATCCAGAATCGGGTACAAAGATAATAATGATATTACTCAATAATATGGAATTACAATATCCTAATTTATCTAAAAATAAAAAAATATCAATTGCTGACCATTCTGCCTCCTAATTAGAGCGCAAATAATAAAAACGACATTCAACGCTACATAATCATATGGCATATAATTCCAAAATCTTTTTAGAAGAAAGGGGGATTCTTTCAACTCCAAATCGAAAGCCTGCAAAAATATCTCAATCAAAAAACAGTTGATATTGTTAAAATTTTTTACAGTGATGAAGTTAGTAGGGTATTACCAGGAAAAAAAGATTGCATAATCTAGCATTGAAAAGGGGGAACGAATGAACGCTCAAAAAGGTTAGTTCTTAATAATTTGAAAGAATTATATAATCATTTTAAGGCGAGTAATTGTTTAACTTAACTCAACACTAAACTATATTCTAATTCGCAGACATTTATTGTGGAGAATATAGTATATCCACGTGAGGATCCTTTGATTGAGGATCAAATAATCGATGAGATTAGAGGATATGTAACATGTGCATATGAAAACGATTGGTGGTTAAGAATTGTACAAGAAGTGAATGTAATTAGAGATGAAGTAAAATAACTTTCTTCACCCTAAAGGACCAGCAAATTCTTTTGTTTATCTAGCTGCACAAGATATCCTTTTCATACCAAAAAATAATATTTTAACAATAGTTAGCCTATCAACGGCTACTGGGCGTACATATAATTTATCGCAGCAGGAAATTATCATGGCGTCAAAAAAACTAAATTTAATGAAATCCGAAAATAGGTAATATCTTTCATGAATTTTAATTTATCTATTATATCTACAAAATTTATAAAATTTTCGAAAATTAAAATTTTTTATAAGAAAAAAATGATTATAACCGCAGCCAAATAATCTCATTTCATGATATTAATGATAGAAATCCTGCTATTTATGTTTAAAAATAGATAAAAGTTTAAATAATAATCTCAACAAAATGCGTTATTTTATAAAGGAGCGCCATCTATTTTTTAAAAAAATATTTATTTTTAAATTTAATTTATATGAAAAATACATATAAAAATTAATATAAATTAGAAGTAGCTAAAGTTCATGGAAAAATTGATTTAAACCTATAGGGTAAATACTCTACACATGCTTGAATATATTTCCTGTTAAATCGGATTTTAATTTTTTTTTAAATTGCCCTCGGTAAAGGATTTAAAATCAAGAGATTCTGAATTCCCATACATGTATATATTGGAAGTATAATAATAAATGAATGAATAAAAATCTTATTTTGAGTCATTATTTTTATGTTCCCTGAACCCGAACCCTGGACCCCGGTCCTTTTTAAATTTTATTACTGAACCCAGACCTGGATCCTTTTTTTTTGTCGAAGGGTTCACATCCCTAGTTTTTAACCTTTTTAAAGTTGAAAAATATTTTTCATTAGTGCAGGTACTAATTGGGAAGGTAGCTAAAAAATTAATAATGTTTTGATATAAGGCCAGGAATCTAAAGTGCAATTGCACATGGAAAGGGCCTGTAAAGCATATTTTGGTCTCAAAGAGTATTCTATTCTGTCAAAATTTTTATACTCACAAAGTGATATATCATACGATCCTGATAATTCATCAGAATAAAACTCTGAGATTTTCTTAATATCTTCTCGCGCTTTAAGTATATTAAGACTCAACCGGTAAAAGAAAATAAAAGCTGTTTAAAATAAAATTGTGACTAATGAATCTTTCCTTTAATTGAAATAAAAATGTATTTATTTTATAAAAATCCTCAATCGTAGATGCATCAATATTTAAGCGATTGGACTATCTAGAAACTACTCTAGGTTTAGAATTTTAATCCCAAACATATTAGCGATCACCTTTACTTTCTCATTATATTTCCCAAATTAAATGATTTTTCTTTTATTTAAAAATTATAAAAAATTGATTAAAATTTTTAAAACTATCTAATTAGTTTAAAATGTAAATTTTATTATTAAATTTATAAATATTTAATATGACTATGCCAGAAAAAATTTAGAATATATTTTTATTTTATTTAATTTTACATATAATTTTTAGTATATATATTTAAACCATGTTTTCATTTAAAATTGAAAATTCTTATTTGTTTTTTTAAATATATTTCATTTTGATATCGTATATATTATTTTATTTATAAATTGAAAGCGATTTTTAACCCGTTACTGGTTAACGGTGCATATATGCACCACCTCCTATATACCTTATTTTAACATAGTAGTTTTTATTTTAAAAAATAATAAAAAAGATTTTTATGTAGTTCAGACATTATACTTCAAAACTGGAAAAGAAAAATATGAAAAAAATATTTTTTTATGTCCCTAAGAAACCCTCAAACTTTGTGAATTTATGAAGTCTAAAATGCAAAATTTTCTAAGTGATCTCACAAGCATATTATAAAATTATTTCGATGAAAACTAGTGTGTATATATTCTTTATAGATATATCAATATTTATCAATCATTTTTGAATTTTTAAATAATTAAAATTTTAACCACATAAAGTTGACTGGTGCATATATGCACCGTTAACCATCTAGCAGTATAAATTATTTAAAAAAATTCAAACAAATGAAATTTAACATAAAGAATTATAATTTTTTATATTATACTTAAAACCACTACCGTCACTAAGGGTGGGGGAGGAGGGGTGGGTGGCTCGAGCCCCCTAAGAATTTTTTTTAAAAAATTTTATACCCAAAAAAAGACCTTTTGAAAATAATTAAAAAAATTTTTTTAGCCCCCCTGAGATTAAATCGAATAATATATTGTTCCTATTATAATTTTTTATCCCGATCAAATTATATGAAATTATTAGGTTCATAAATATTCAAAAGTTTAAAATTATTTTTAGCCTCTTACTTTCTGAAGATTTTATTTTATTTATATAAAATATTATGCACCTGTTTTGTCAATTCAATCAAAATTATCAAAATAATAGATTACTAATAAAAAAATCAAGATTCTACGAAAATAATTTGTCTAGATATTTAATTTTTAGTAAATTTTTTTAATGAAACGTTTTCTAACAATTGAACAAGCGCTTGCTCAACTTTTTGAAGAGGAACCAATTGAAGAAAGAGATATGGTTATAATTGCGCCAAACCCCTCTGCAGTTAGTGATGAAGAAGATTTCGATGAAAATGACTTAACAAATATCGGAGTTTTGCCTTCAGATACAGCTGGAGGAGATTCATAATTCAGGTGATGACGACCTTCCAGAACCATATTCTACAAGAAGCTATTCTCGAATTTCTCACAATTTAAAATGGAGAAAAACGGATGCAATATATTCTTCAAGCCCTTTCAATGGAGAAAAGGAAGATGTAATAAAACTTGAAAATGATTTACATGGTAAAAGTCCATCAGATATATTTTCTAAAATTTTCGACGAAGATTATATTCTCTAATTGTAGAACAAAGTAATATTTATGCTAAACAAATTAATAGACCTAACATATGCATAACCATCCAAGATATTCAGAGATTTATTGGAATTCTATTATTTACTGGATATCATTCTCTCCCACAAGAAAGAATATACTGGGCTAATGATAGCGATATTTCTATTCCAATAATCCGGGATACAATGACCCAATTACAATTTCGAAATTTCAAATATAATATCCAATTGGCAGACAATACTAAAATAGATATACATGATAGATTTTATAAAGTTAGGCCTTACATTAATATATTGAATAATAAATTACAGCAATTCGGAATTTTCAAACATCATTTATCAATAGATGAACAGATGATACCATATCGAGGAAGACATTCTTGCAAAATGTTCATAAAAGGAAAACCAATTAGATTCGGATACAAGTCTTGGATATTGGCTTCTTCCGACGGTTACGTATTCTCATTTGATATATATTAAGGAAAAAGCGAAAATAAATATGAATATGGATTAAGTGGAAATGTAATCATAAAATTATTAAAGGCATTGCAAAAACCAAATTATCATAAAATATATTTTGATAATTTCTTTACATCATTTAAACTCTTGTCATACTTAAAACAAATATATTTTGCAACTGGAACTGTGAGGGACAATAGAATAGAGCATTGCCCAGTTGAATCTATAAAGGTTGTAGCAAAAAAAGAAAGAGGATATTATGATTATAGGTTTGAAAAAATTAAACGAAATATTTGTAGTTCGTTGGAATGATAATTCGGTGGTGACCGTTGCATCGACATGCCACACTATCTCTTTGCTTTCTAATGTTTCAAGGTGTAAGAAAATATCTTCTAAAATAAAGATTCCTAAGCCAAATATGGTAACTGCTTATAACAAACACATGGTGGAGTTGATCTATGTGATAATCTAATATCTACATATAGAATAAAAATAAGAGAAAATGGTGGTGGCCAATATTCACCAATTTTATTGATGTAGCTTTGGTAAATGCATGGAAAATCTGGAAATTCGTGAATCGAGATGACAAGAAGAGTTTGCTTGCATTTAGACGAGAAGTTACTAACTACCTCCTTCGAACGCCAGTAAAAATTGAAAAAAATTCAAGTACAGGTCACGCCAGCCAGTTTGCATTACAGTGTGAAAACTCTATTGATTCATCTGGACATTATTTATCCAAAATTATAGATGAAAAAAGACGAAGATGCAGATATTGCCATACGCACTCAAGATATATGTGCCAAACATGTCAAATCGCACTCCATATAAAATGTTTCAAGGATTTTCATAATATATAAACATTTTCTCGTTTTTATTATAAATTACAAAAAAAGAATAAAGATATTTGTTGTTTTTTGATCTTATAGTATTTTTATCTTTTTTAACCTCTTAATGGTTAACGGTGCATATATGCACCAGGCTAGATTTTCTATTTAGGATTATTTTATTTGGCTGATTTTTTTAGAATATCATATTAGAGCATTAATAAATATAATTTGAAAAAATTGAGCATTTTTATCCATTAGAAAAATCTTGACCATTAATGGGTATAAAATTATTCGCAATAAAAAAATTTTCGTTCGGAGGTTATGGGGGGGGGGTAACCCCCTCCCTTGTCTACGCCACTGATTTGAGGTGCTACATTTATCATTATTATAGCAATTTGATTAGTAATTGTTTTATGTAATTTTGATAATATACAATAGAAAAAACATAAATAAATCATCTCATTCCATATCAAATCGATCAACAAAAAAAAATTGATTTTCAAGTTATTATTTCATTTAACAAAATCTCTACTTTTTATATAAAATTTCAAAAAATTTAATACTCGATTTCTTTTGCTAGAATATTAGTTTGGGTTTTCATCAAATATACAACTAAAACGAATCGGACCATCTTATCTATAGTGGAACTATAATGTCACTTTTAGTGAGTTTTTCTTTGACGGAAACTTGATAATTACGCTTTGAATTTTTATCTGGCACACACAGTCTTTTCACTTTGATTGACTGAATAATATATTCCTCCCCCCTCCCCCCATTTTATATAAATATTAAATTCAAAGATTATAATAATAGGAAAATATATAAAAGGTAGCAACTAAAATTATCAAAATTTAAAACTTTAATTAAAATTTTTTGTAACCAAGAAAGGTTTTACGAAATCAGATATAATGCCATATTGTAAAATTTGCTAGATAAGTATAAAATTTTAAAAAAGTTGGAAAAACAACGCTATCACATTTTATTTAACTCGTTTCTGTCTAAATTTATCGAGTTTTATTTCTAATTATATAGGAATTTCTATATATATCTATTCGCTCAGCCTTTTATTAAAAGTTGTTTTTCTTTGGGATTTAATTTCACCAATTCTAGGCAATAATATTCTATTCCTTCTAATAAATCGAATGAATATGTACAAATATTTTATATATATATTGAATTCATTAAACTAAATATACCATCTTATGCGGATTTTAATGAGAAGTTAAAATACAAGATTACATCGTTTTCTAGGTTTGAGATTTGTTTGGATTTCAAAAAATTATCCATATTTTTGATGCGATAAAGTTTATTTTTGACGTATGCTGGATATAATAAATTAAGCTAGCCATTTTATATCATTTATAAAATTCATTTCAAAATTTGATGGTGGAAATAATGAAACTTGATAAAATATGTGAAATTTTCAGCTGATTTTTTTATATTACATAAAATTTGACAGTATAAATAGCAGAAATTTGATAAAATATACTCTAAGCTACCATTTTTTTTTGTGTTTCTATAAAAATTTTTAAATTTTATTATAAATAAATAACATTTTATGATTTTTGACAATCTTGCGGGATTTTAGGATTTAATTAAACTTTAGGCGGCATACTTATTGTCTTTTTTTCCCATGAGACAAAAAAGTCATTTAGCAGGACACGGCAATCTAATGCGGGCCTGGCAGGGCTACCCAGCACACGAAATATCCAAATTTTTGGATACTATTTTGCATCATCAAACTCTAGAACGCCCTGGTATGGCTTTAGGCAAATATTAAAATTGAGGATTCTTTTATTCACTATATATTTTAATTTGAAAAATTGAAATAAAATCTTATATAATATTAATATATATTTTAAAGGTATTGGCTCATTTATTGAATGCATCCAAAGGGCTACCTGTCAGCAAACTTGAATAATAAATGAATATGAAAAAATACAAATTATCCACTGGAATTGTTTACAAAAAATTTATTGGTAATCAAGAATTAATATGACGAAACGTTTTAGTCAAACATTTATGATTAACGTTTTTGAGCAAAATAAATTTCAATTATTTTTGGAATTTAAACTAATTGTTACCATTATTTTAAAAACGTTTTATTAGTTTTCATTGCTTTTTTAAATGCTTACATACACGTATAATTTATCTTGCGCATTATAATTGTAATTAACTTTTAAATAGCTTGATATAATAAAAATCATATAAATCATTAATTATGTTTTTATAGATTTGTTGCAAAGATGCACTTATGCCATTTTTTTGCCGATATCGATATCAACCAAGATTTGTTACCGATACCAAAAAAAATATATTAGCATACAAAGATATAATAAATAAATTAAAAAATAAATGGAAGCATCCTCTTTCTTATTTTCTTGCCGATTTAGAAATTAGTGGATATTTATTAATTCTTAGCCTAATATTGTCTTAAATAGTTTTATTATAAATTTATAAGGGTTAATCATCATTTTTTGGGTATCAGAAAATTTACTAACCAGAGATATGCGAAGTTCGACCCGCCCAAAAACCCGCGGGCTGGGCAAATCAAAAAAAATTATAACGGACTGGGCAATTCATACATAAAAAATAGGACCAGAACTTATCTCTGATTTTTCATAAAAAAAATTTGATACATTTTTTTGAATTTCAAGCGAATATTTTGATAAATACTATTTGAAAATAGATTATATGCTTATTTCTATAGATCTGTACTAAAATACTAGTAATTACTCAAAAAAAATTAATAAGTAATTTATATGTTGCAATTACAAATACACAATACAGATATCTAAATACAATTGGTTTATGAAACGGTTGTTATAGGAATAGATAGCCATTGAGTAGAGATAAAGAACCTTATTTGGAGGAAAATTAGACATAGACATTAAAAATGTGATGGACGGAAAATTTGTCTAAAAATTATAAACATACCAGGTCTGACTTTCCATAAAAGTTTAAAAGGCCGGGTTGAGAAGAAAATTTTTTTTATCAGGCCAGACAAATATTTGAACGGGTCGAGAATTTTGTGCAAAATAAATGCATCTTTGATATTTTGTTTAAACGATCAAAAGAGTTGAGATATAAGATAAGATACTCGTTTTGATAAATTATAGTATATTCAATAATATTATATATTTTATTAAAATATTTTTTAGGATAGTTAGATAAATTTGAATTTATGCAATTTATTTCCAAGCAACTAAATTATATAATTAAAGATTTTAATCATGAAAAGCATAATAACCCTATTAAAATTTAATTACAAAATGGTATAATTTTACTTTCGCACAGATTAGATGTCTTATATAAATAAATGATCTACAGCACATCCCTTTTCCACCTAACTGCAATAAAGGAATTAATGTTACCAAACGATAAAAATGGAGGGGTATATAAATTATTAACAGGTGCACATACAGTCAAAACCGGATAATTGCGAAGCATTAGGACTGAAAAAATTAATATTTTCGCACTTATCCGATTCTTAGTAATTAAAAGACTAAATTTTAATTATTTAGTATATAAATCAATTTTGTGTTGTTAATAGTAATATATTATATTATACGATTATTATTATTAAGACCTAATTAAGGAATAATAATTATTAAGATTTTTTTAAAATGATTAAAAATATTATTTTTGCAACTTGTGTTTAATCTGTGAAATAACATATGATAAATTTAAAAATTATACCTCGTTAATTATTACTAGCATAAAATATTAGATAAATATACATATTCTAAGGATAAATACAAAGGCAAATTAATCCACACAACAATTTTATGACTTATTTTTAATATAAGTTACTGAATTGATTACGAACTTTCTAACCTTGGTTTCACTACCTTTTTTTACCTCTTAAATAACTTAAAATAATATAGACACAATATTTTATTTTAAACAATTATTTTATTTCTACCTTTTAAAAACTAAAAATAAAAAATGATTATACAATTATCGATAATTTCAATATAATATTATATATAATAATATTAAAAAAAATAAACACTTAATTTTTTAATAATTTAAAAAAATAAATAAACAATTACATAACATGTACCCCCCTTTCAAGGTAGTACATGCCACAATTTCCCGTAACTATCATTTAGGAATTTTTAAGATTCCTTTTTCTTGCATCATTTCATAAACTGTTCGTCAATAATATCCGTTACAGCATTATTGTTTATCCAAAACTTCTCATCAGATGTTCTCTTGATATCGATGTTGAGCGAAACTTCATATCGTTGATGTTCTCATTTCCCTTTTTTTTCTTTTCTTGTTTACGTTATTGTTGGTGGGTTTGACTAAACTACAAATGCTAAGTTAAACTGCAAATGCCAAGGTAAACTGTAAATTCTTAGGTAAAAATTTTTGTTATATTCTCTCTAAAATTATATTAATAGATATATTCAATAATAAATGAATAGACATTAAAAGTTGTATCCTTTTATCTCATAATAAAGAGTTTAATCCTTTGGTATATTTAAATTAAAAATAATTATAATTACATTTTAAATTTCATTAATATTAAATCCGCAAGTTAGCGTATTATTATTTCATGAAAAAAAATTAAATAAAAATACGATAACTGGCGGATATTATTGTAATTTAAAATGTTATTATAATACTTTTTTTAGGGTAGGTCTATAAGTCGAAGGCTTGGTATAAGATACGAAAGGCTAAAATATAATATTGAAAATAAAAATAACAAAGAAAATATTTAATGAGATATTTTATTGATTTATTGCTTTTTTTAGAGAAAAAATATTATAATAACATTACATTATAATAAAAACCTTTATTTTTCATCATCCAAAACAAACAAAGAAATCAATTTTTTATAAAACAAAAATATATTATTATAATATATAATAATACTATAAAAAAAAGAACGGAGATGGTGTGGCGCAGGGAAACAAAAATGAAAAAGGGACGTAAGTGTTGTTTAGGATAGCTCTTTGGCTAGAAGACTACCATTGAAACTGATATAATTAGCTTTGAGAATCGCTATGGATAGTCGTTGACGAAGAAAAAAATCCTCTCGAGGTTCTTCTGAGAGTTTGCTGATTTGTGATCCTAAGTTTTTGAAAAATGCTAAGGGGAGTTTGCCGAAGGTGCCAAGAGTGGTTGATATGATTGGGATGAAGCAATGATCGTTCATTATTTCTGTGTATTTAGAAGTTTTAAGTTGTTCCTTCTGGTCAAGGATGTTGATGGCGTGGTTGGATGGGGCCAAGGGGTCAATACAGGAATAGTCCCATACCAAAAGTTGGCCTCTCCTCCATGGGATTTGAGAGATCCCGTCAGGACGTTTACCGTTAGATCTAAAAAGACCCTGTGGTTCTAAAGTAGAAGGGATTTTTTCAATTTTTTTAATAATTCTTTGAAATAATTTTATTTTTAATTAAATAAATATTTGGTTATGATTTTATATATTAAATAAGTATAAATATATTGTAATTAATGATAAAGAAGTAAATGAGAAATATAAATTTAAGGATTTTTAGATGTATTTTTTTACGTTTCCCGTTCAAAAAATAATTTTTTTGTCGCGAAAGCATTTTAGAGGGGAAAGGCTAACATCTTAAACGTAATTTTGAATATAACTCAGAATTATATTCTCTATCCAAAACCGCGTAGATGTATTTTTTTACGTTTCCGGTTCAAAAAATATTTTTTTTGTCGCGAAAGCATTTTAGAGGGGAAAGGCTAACATCTTAAACGTAATTTTGAATATTATTATATAATTGAACTCAGAATTATATTCTCTATCCAAAACCGCTTAGATGTATTTTTTTACGTTTCCGGTTCAAACAATAATTTTTTTGTCGCGAAAGCATTTTATAGGGGAAAGGCTAACATCTTAAACGTAATTTTAAATATAGTTATATCATTGAACTCAGAATTTCATTTCCTATCCAAAACCGCTTAGATGTATTTTTATACGTTTCCGGTTCAAAAAATAATTTTTTTTTCGCGAAAGCCTTTTATAGGGGAAAGGCTAACATCTTAAACGTAATTTTGAATATTATTATATCATTGAACTCAGAATTTAATTTCCTATCCAAAACCGCTTAGATGTATTTTTTTACGTTTCTGGTTCAAAAAATAATTTTTTTGTCGTGAAAGCATTTTATAGGGGAAAGGCTAACATCTTAAACGTAATTTTAAATATAATTATATCATTGAACTCAGAATTTAATTTCCTATCCAAAACCGCTTAGATGTATTTTTTTACATTTCCGGTTCAAAAATATTCAAAATTACGTTTAAGATGTAAGCCTTTCCCCTGTAAAAGGCTTTCGCGTCAAAAAAATTATTTTCTGAACCGGTGTAACGTGTAAAAAATCTCACGGGGTTGTGAGATTTTGATTTAAATGGCTCCTAATGTTTTTGAAGCGATAAATTAAAAGTTAAAGTTTTCATGACAAGTATTTAAAATTACTAATATTATAATATAGTGACAATAATTATATACACCCTAACTGTCTAATTATAATCTTTGATTGCTTTGCAAGATATATTTGTTTCATTTCAAGAGTTCATTTGTATTTTTAGATTAATAAGTCGAATACTGGGATATATCAAATAAATAAACACCATTAAACAATAAAGTAAAGGATTTATATAACTTCTATTTTAATATATATAAATTAATTAGCATATAATTGAATAGTCAATTATATATAATTATATATAAATAAACTTGAATATTATAATTATGTAGCGTAGTCTTATTGCTTATATGTTACACTACCTACCTTCAAAATCTTGGTTCGAATCCCCGTACATACCTTTTTTTTAAATTGAAAATCTGATTGTTTTGATCTTTTTATTTTTCACAAAATTCGGCATATCTTATAACCCGATGCTGCCTATATAGTCTGTATTTTATATTTTTAGTCTGTATTTCATACCAAAGAGGGGGGGGGGTGATATGGTTCAGATTATTTTAGGCTATGTGGGTTGCCTTGGTATATGAATATTATTTAATTTATTATTTGTAAAGGAAGTAAAAATATTCTTACTAATATTCTAATTTACACAATATGAAATTTATATATAAAACAAATTTAAGCTTAAATAGGTCCAAAACCGAAGACTACAATCTCATAACTATCCAGATTTAACCTATCCTCAGATTTCCTATAATTAATTTATGATACCTCCCT